CAAAGCACAGATTCTACAGGGTGAATGCACACCCAGACACAGAACATTTTAGTGTCACTCACTTGTTGCTTATGTTCTGCTGAGGGCAATGAAAGAAACAAGGCCTCCAGAAGAAATCTGATAAGAATTCAGTCACTTAAGTTAATGGTATTTTGAGTATGACAATGATTTAAATAAGTTCTCTGAAGTAAGCAGTGAACATCCTGGCACTGATGGTTTGGGTCAAGAATTGCGGCTGCCAGATTTTTCCTTCGATCACACCCACATGGATTAAAGGTGGGTTCATCATCATTAGCAATTAGTGAGGAGAAATCGAAGAATGGGGGCTGATAGGTAAACAGTAAGAGCTCTTTTAAAGGTCTGTACATATTTCCCTTTTAGGAGTGTGAATTTCATCCTCCATAAAATCTTTTGTTATCTTGAGAAGAATTTGAGTTAAATAAACCAATCAAGACTCTGGTGCCCAGAAAGAGCCAATCCAGACACACAGATCATATGCCTCTCCCTGCCATTACTGTTTGCAAGGGAATAAAGATAAATATAATGTATTAAAAACATTTTTGAAAATAAGACTGCAAATTTCAAAGATCAATCTTAAATCATTCACAGTCACTGAAAAGAGGACTGAGCAGCCATTTCTCTGTCTGGGGCTGCAGGGCCCTCAGGTGCTGTCTCAACACTCCTCTGATTCCTCTCCTACTTACCACAAATGACCATTGCAGTATCTATTCTTAACCTTCCTATTCTCCTTGTATGAGTTCTCATGTCTTGTCACTATTTGACTTTTAGGGAGAAAAAACAATACAAAACAAAAAACAATAATCCCAAATCCCTGATTCTAGGAAGGAACAGACATGCTCCACAGCATGTTTGTTTTCCTTTCTGCCTTTCTTTTGGTTTCAGCCATAAGCCCCTTCCCCAAGAATCTGTTTTCCTTAGTGCTTGGAGTTGACATATTTGAGGAGCATGCTGTAAATTTCCTGTAGGAAGTTCGGTACTGACACATCCTTCATTTTTTTTGTGTGTAGTTTTTGGGAGTCTCCTTAAGGAAGGAGAATTATACCGTTTGAAGACATGAGGCTTAAAGTAGTAAATGTTTCCTTTCATTTCGAGGGCTGCTACCATTCCTTTGAAGTCAATGAGAAATTCTGTAAAGCAACTAGCATCCTATAAGGGTAACTCAAATATGAAAACAAGAGTGACAAATCATTATAAATTTAATTTATTTATTTGGAAACAGACATTTAAAAAGCCTAGAAGATGGAGTATGCTCCCTGTTTTGGAAGCTTTCAGTGATCCTAGATCACATTCTGGGCTATCCCTGTGTGAGCTAGCATTACAAGCTATCAGAGATTAAGGTCTTTAGTCTTTGTGCTATCTCCAACTGCTCACTTATTACGTCTTACCACCTGCCTTCCTGATTTCTCTACCAGGCATCATTATCACTGTATCACAGTTGGCCTTGCACAGTGGTTCATACCTGATGGTGACACCAACCCCCTAGGCACCTGTTAGAAATGTTTGGTCACATTTCTGTTTGTTTATATGACTGGAGAGAGCTATTGGCATTTAGGAGTTGGCCAGAGATGTTAGGTACCCAGCAAGGTATGAGATGACATATACAACCGTCTACTCAGGATATAGGTGGCACTGCTATTAAGAAACACTGGGCCTCTAGGATTAGCACCCCACTTTTGAGAAGACTAAGCTGGCTTTTGACTTTGAGACACATTATTGATCCTGGATTCTTACAGTATGCTTCAGGCCTTCATCAGTGATTGGCCTGTGATCTTCCTCATTTGGCTTCAGCTGGAGACAGGAGGAATATTTGACAAAGAAATTCCAAAAATGTGCTTGTCTTTGTTTATAGGCTTCCCTTCTGTTGGGAAGCAGACAATGAAAACTCAGCTCTTTGCCAGTTTGTAGATACTTGTATGCCTAGATGCCTCCAGCTAGGAAAGTGAAAACTCACACTAGGCAAGGAAAAGGAAAATGAATGCTGTAATCGTTTATTTTTATTGCTGTTAAAATGCCTCCAAAGAAAAGTAAAAGTAAAACATCAGTGCTGACTGATGTTATAGGTATTAGTGTTGGCTAAGGTGCTTAAAATGCAATGTTTGTATAAAGAGGGGCATAGAGAAAAGATTCCTATTGATGAGATAGCTATTTTATCTTTTCGTAAACAATCAGTTCACTCATAGGAGATGCAGAGGCATTGTAATAAAGTATCCAAGTGATAATTTGAAGGGTAGCAGGAAATAATGTAGAGAAGTAAAGTTTGATCAATTTCAAGGTTCTGGTCCAAGATGATGATGTAGGAAGACCAAGAAACCACCTTCTCCCACAGATACACCAACTCTATAGCTATCAATGAAACAATTTGCTCGGGGCAGGGGGAGAACCTAAAGTAAAAAAAAAAAAACTGGCAAAGCAGCCCCCTTCGCATCAGGTACATGAGAGGGAAACCATATATTTTAAAAAATATTTTATTTATATATTCATGAGAGACACAGGGAGAGAGAGAGAGAGGCAGAGACACAGGCAGAGGGAGAAACAGGCTCCATGCAGGAAGCCCAACGCGGGACTCGATCCCAGGACTCCAGGATCATACCCTAGGCTGAAGGCAAGTGCTAAACCACTGAGCCACCCAGGGATCCTGAGGGAAACCATATTGAAGTGGATAGGAAAGGCTGAGAAACAGTCTCATCATAAATCCCACCCCCTGGCGTGGTGACCCACAATCAGGAGGGAACTCAAAACCCAGAGCTGCTGCTTGAGGAGCAAAAAGGGTTTGTGCTCCACATTGGGCACCCTAACTTTTAAGATTAGCACCTGGGAGATGAGTCCTAAAACATCTGGCTGTGAAGAAGAAAAGTAAAGTTCTGAAACCATGGAGGGACAGGAGAGGTAAAGAAGAGACCAAAAATTGACAGAAGTAGCAACCAAATTTACATCAGTCAATTAAGTACTTGAGTTCATTATCATGTTCTGATCTACTTTGGGAAACTGGTTATCATTTATTTCATTTTACGTTAAAAAGAAAGAGCAACCAAAAAAAGCATATTCAATTTTTTTCCATTCCATAAAACAAAATAAGACTTTTAATAAGGTTTTATATCTACTTACAGAGTCCCCCACATCAATATTTTAAAATATTACTTAAAATGTTATGATATGAGCAAATCTGATGTAAAACAACAGCAAACCTAGCATTATATCCTATTATCTCGATTTTTGCTGAAACCGTTTACAACTTCCAGAAACAGACATACCAAATATCTGAAACCATGTCTATAATTACCTCCAGAAATGATTTGACATAGTTCAATTTTTCTTTTTCTGTATTTTGCTATTTCCTTTTAACCTCTTCAATTGAATTTTTAAAAAGTGCTAAAGGTCTTGGGAGTGAATAACAAGTTATTTTGAGTTTTTAAAGTTACATCTTGGAATGTTTTCAAAACCAAACCTTGTAACCTATTGTCAGGATAAGATAATAGGAGGCTTTGCAAATATCAAGGCAAAGGTCACATCTGGCACTTTCTTCCCCAGGTCTGATCAGCAGGCACTTTCTAATTTTTGTTGTCCCCAGTTTACTTATGCCCTAACACTACTCTGATAGTTTGAAGATATGATGACAAATTATATACTTTAGTTGGTTGCAATATGCTGCAGTTTTATTTTTGATGTGTTCTCACATTCCTCATACTGTTATTTATAATTACCTCTGGCCCACCAAATGTAAGCTCCATTAGTGTTTTATCTCTTCTGTAGTGTCTAGAAATGTGCCATGCCTAATAGTATGTGCTCAATAAATGCTTATTGAATAAGTGAATAAATTGATGGTTCATTTTCTTAAATATTTCATACTGCAAGTCTAGAGATCATAGATTCTTGGAAGAATTTGGGCCATGCTAAATTATGTGTACTTTCCTCAGAGTCAACTAAAACCAGTACATCAAGTGTTCTGAATGCTCTTGAATACTGTGGGGAAAAGGCTGAATTTTTTTAACCAAGCCCATGAACTTAGTTTTAGATGTTCTGCTTTGGAATAAAGAAATGTTAGAGTACTTATTATGTGGAAGATGTGGTCTATATTATACTATGTAATTAATAAATTCTCATTTATATAATCATCTTCAAGGCAATACACTTACACTTTAATAATTTTACATGGATGTAAACTGGAAAGGTGGAAATACACCTTTCAAAAAATTCAGGATAAACCAACCGTGTTTTAGGCTATCTGTGCACTTAACTCCCTCAGGTGTCATTTAATTTGTTGGGCAGCTGGCAGACTGACAGAGGAGGAGTTCTGAAGGAAGTCACCAGGATAGCTGGGCACTTTACTGTCTACATGTTTTAGTAGGGATTCCCAGTTGGAAGTGATTGATGCTTTGAGTAGGCACTCAGTTCCCCTGAAGTCTTTGTCTTAGAGGCAAGAGTGAACCAATTCTGCCTTCTGCTGACTTTTTCCTGCTTATTTTCTTAGTTAGGCTCCGGGTTCTCCTTTGTGCAGCTTTATAGTGATTTCTTGGTCTAGTAAGTATTTGCTTTCTCTCTGGTGAGTTGTTTCCTCTCCATTCATCCTCATCCACTATGACTACTGTATTATCCTTGTCCCAAGTGATTCATAGTATGATTGTTCTTTAAAAAAATAAACAACAATCACTTCATAATACTCTTATTTTTAGCTTCCTTGTTAAAAGTCTTTGAAGTTGGTTATTTTTATAGGTTTTCACTGATTTGGAATTTTTCTAGAAACATCTGTTAGTATAAACTATGCTGGACATTTTTTTTTGTCCATTTGAGTACCATAATTCTCTGCTATAAGAAAGAAGTTGGGATTAGAAGGATCTTGATATCATTCATACTTGGATTAAAATGTATTTTGAGCCTATTTTGAGCCAAAATGTATTCTGGGGTTAGATTAACACTTAGTAATACATGAGCAGTGGCAGCCTCATATTTATGGTAGAGAATATTTTCTGATGCATGTCTGTGGCATCATAGGGATTGTCAGTAAATAATGTGTTATCCTTGCACAGGGGCCATGCTAATCTTCCCTCTGTTGTTCCAACTTTAGTACATGTGCTGCTGAAGCAAGCACAGGATGCCAATAAATAATAATACTGACAATTGAACCTCCCAGTCCTATAACTCAATACTTTTGCTTCATGCAAACTGACCTAGTTTTTGCCTTCCATAATCCCAAAACCACATTGTGCATATGTAATCAGATTGACATGTATCTCTCCCCTCACCCTGTTTCTTGATATCTCAATCATTAGAACACACACACCACACATGAAATCACTTCTCTATGAGCTCTCATTTAGCACTCTATCCTTAAGGGCTTAATTGCCCTTCTAACCTGTTGTGATATATAACTGTCATGAGCATTCAATAAGTTATGAATTTCTAGAAATCAAGAGTTAGCTTATACTTCTAGTCCAAAGTGTCAAATATCTCCTTGGGTTTTTTTGTTTTTTTAGTTTGTGTTTGTTGTTTGTTTTTGTTTTGCCATTCAATAAATATTTTTAAGCATCCAACTGAACCAAAGATTTCATACTGTGAGGCAGTAGTTTGGTGGAGTCATTCAAGGAGCAATCTGTTTTTGCTAATGGCATATGACTATCTTTGCTGGTTGACTAATGGTCATTGTGGTGATTATGAGAGACCCAGAGGAGCTAGAGAAAGGAGACACAGTACAAAAGAGCATAATAATTTCATAACTGTTGTGTTGTAGAGGGTACTCTTATTTGTGGGAAGCTTCATATTCATGCTGATCAGAGAAGACCTAGCAATTCATATTTTACAAACACAATCCAACCTCAAAACTATATACTGAGATCTTTCCATTGTGAAAAAACTGGAGTTCTGGTCCCTGCTGTGCTGTTGAAGGACAGCTAAGCAGGCTTTGGAATGGTGAACCCATACTTTTGCAAGTAGGAAATCAGTAGAGATAACAGGCTCATCATGGTCTTTGTCTAACTCACTATAGAATTCACAATTCACTTTAGAAAATATTGACTGTAGCTGATTTGTTAGATTTTTCCCTTTAGAAATGATTTACCATTTCCATGATGACTGGATAGATTTTATTTATTAGCCAACATAATGAGCTGACAGCTTTTTATAAAAAGCTACTTATATTAGCTATTCATTCTTGGGAAAGTTGCTTCTTTAATTATCAGGAATTTTATTTAAAATGTGAAGTTTGGGGAAATGTCAAGAAGAAAGAAAAGGTGACTTGCAAGTGAAAAGGAAAGGGAATCATGACTTTTCTTTTACTTCCATTGAAGTCTGTTCTTCCTTTAGATCTTATTTGAGAACAGGAATGAGAGAAGGCAGATCCTGTATTCCTGACTGATGGTGATATGTAATAATGGTAAAAAAAAAAAAAAAAAAAGGAGAGAGAGAGAGAGAAGAATTAGAGGGTTGAAGGTAGCATGGGCTTACTTGGAAAAAGAAAGGAAGACCATAAAATTCATGAAATATTATCAGTGGTGCTGCAACCCCTCCCCTTGCCTTGCCTAGAAGCTAAAGTATTCATATGGGGTTTAAAGCCCTAGAGTCCTTAGTGTTCCATTTGGCATATGTATTTTCCTTGCACCTGAAGTCCTCAGCACTCTTAGTCTATATCCTCTCCCAAGGTGCTCTTACTCACTTCCGTGACACCCAAATTTATATTTTCTACTGAAACTTTTCTTCTAAATTACTGACCTATCCAATTGTCTTCTCAGCAGCTTCTCTTTGATGCCTTACAGGAGCATCAACCCAAAATATCTAAAACTGTTATCAAAATATCATAGTTTGGGGACTTTGACATGATAAATATTCATGGTGTGTAAAAGCATGATACATAACTGTATGATCTTACATTAAAATGCTTACTTGTGTAGATAGATACACACACGGGACCTAGAAGTCAAACTGTAAACTGCTTGTGATTATGGATGACTTTGTTCTTTGCTTCTTGTGTTTTTCAGTTTCCTTTTATGCACATATTATTAACTTTAAAAAAATAAATTTTTAAAGAACCTAAAAAAAACCCATCTAAAACTCATTTTATGATTTTCTGCTTAAGAAATCTATTTTCTCTAGCATTATCCATCTCAGGGATTGTCCCTCCTGCCCCATCCTTTGACATTTGATCAAGCCATATATCCTGATTTATCTTCTTCTCTCATTGTCTTTCACATATTACTTACGTTTAACTCCTAAATGTTTCTGAATGTGTCATTTTCTCTCCATCTCTGCTATCAGTCTAAGCCATCATCATCATCTCTCCCATGAACTGCTAACTGGTCTCACCACATCATTCTTGTCCCATGCCAATCCATATTGCAAATAGAAGCCACAGTGAGATTTTTGAGACAAATCTGATTACAATTTGTCCCTGCTTAAAATTTGTTGATAGCATTACATTTTTTAAAGATATACTGCATAATCTTTTAATGACAGGCCACAAAATTCTGGATGATCACCTCTTGCCAGCTTTCTCTCATGCCAGGCTTTCTTTCCCTCCTTGTACTACAGCCTCACTGCTCTTTCTTTCAGTTCCCCAAATATATCAAGTTCCGATCCCATATTGAAATCTGTACATGCTTCTTCCTTTATTTGGAACAGTCTAAGGATTTTCTATTGTGCTGTAACCTTAATAAACACATCTTCAAACAAAGACTTCCTTGATATTATAGATTGAATTCTGTCCCCCCAAAATTTGTATGTTGAAGCCCTAACTTCCAGTGCGGTGGTATTTGGAGATAGGGCCTGTGGGAGGTAATTACACTTAGATGAGGTTATGAAAATAGGGCCCACATGATGGGATTAAGGCCCTTATAAGATAGATAGCAGAGTGTTCTCTTTTTCTGCCCACCCCTCTCCCTGTATCTCTCTCTTTCTCTCTGCATGTGAAGACACAGCTAGAAGGCAGTTGTCTGCAAGTCAAGTAGTGAGCTTTTACCCAGAAACCAATCCTGCTGACACCCTAATCTTGAATGCAGACTCTAGAGCTGTGAGAAAATAGATTCCTATTTGTCAAGTCACCTAATCCATAATGTTTTGTTTTGGCAGCCTGAGCTGCCATGAACTAGTCAGGGTTCCCTTTTATTCATTCTCAGAGGCTTTGTACTTTTATTTTTGTCTTCCCTGTAAACTTTAAGCTTGGTAAGGTTTTTCTTGAACACTGTTCTGTTTCCAGTCCCCAACACAGTGTTTGGCATATTAAAATTATATGTTAAATGTTATTTGTGGGAAATATACAATTATTGTACTTCCTTAAAAAATTACTTCCTGGGATCCCTGGGTGGCGCAGCGGTTTGGCGCCTGCCCCTGGAGACCCGGGATCAAGTCCCACGTCGGGCTCCCAGTGCATGGAGCCTGCTTCTCCCTCTGCCTGTGTCTCTGCCTCTCTCTCTCTCTCACTGTGTGCCTATCATAAATAAATTAAAAAAAATAAATATTTTACAAAAATTACTTCCTATCTTGGTCTGTATTTTTCTTAATAAAACCTCATCACAAAAAGGCATCCCCTCCTAGAGTCCTTTAATTTCATTGACAGCTTCATCTGCTTGATGCCATAATAATCTTCTTAGCAAACAGATGGGGAAACCTGGCAGTGGTGGTTGGGTTATTGAAACCAAGAATCTTCATCAGGCCTCTTGCTTCTAGGAAAAATGGCAAAAAATGCTATGGTTTAGTTTTCTCTAGAGTTTACCTCCATGTTTTTACTTCTTTGACACTTTCCTTGACCTTTAAATATAAGATGATTAAAGTGAAGGATGGTATCTTTAGCATTTAACTATCCCTATAAGAATATACAGCCCCATGTTTTGGGGACTATTATACCACCGGCCATCCCTCAGTTGTCAGCTGACCTGATAACTTATGCAGATGAGGAGCAGTTAGCTAATCCTTACTATTGTTAAAATTAAAGTGATTCTTTTAAAAGTGATGACTAAGGAACCCAAAGGCCAGGTGTTGTCCAATGGACCCCAACATACTTTTTGTAAATTCTATAGAAAAGAGTAGGGATTGCTAAAGCTTTACTGAAGATTTTTACAAAATTTCTGAACAACAGTGAGTAACTCCCCTGTAGTTTTTTTAGGGAATCTTTGACCTCTCATATTGAAATGGTACAAGTGACAGAGGATTATATGGCTTTCCATGCTTACAGCTCAACTTTAGTTGTCCTGTCAAGGCTTTGGTATATATATTAGTTTACTAATGCTGCTATAATGAATTATAACAACTTAGTGATTTAAACCAACACAAACCTATTATTTTAAATTTCCTGATATCAGAAATTAAAAAAAAAGACAGGTATAAACATGAAATGTCAACAATGCTTACATTCATTTTGGAGGCTCCAGGAGAGAATCTGTGTCCAGCTTCGGGAAGCAACGTGCATTCCTGGGCTTGTGGCCCCTGCCTTCAAAATGCACCAATCTGCCTTTTTCTTCCATCATCACCTCTCCCTTTATAATCTAGCCCTCCTATCTCCCTTTTATAAGAGCTTTCGTGATTACATTGGGTTTACCTGGATAATCCAAGGTAATGTTAATCACCTCAAGCTCCTTAAACTCAATCACATCTGCAAAGTTCCCCTTGGCAAGTATTGTAACCTATTCAAAAGTTTGGGGATTAGAATGTGGACATCTTTGCAGGGATAAGATGGAAGCATTATTCTGCTTACCATACTGAAAAAGATATGACAATGTCATATTTCAAAAATGCCAGTTAGGATTTAATGCAAGAGACAAAAGTTATGTCATGTCTTTTTCTCTAGGTGCTTTACTTAAGGTCTCAATTTTCCCACATAAAATGCCATCTATATATTGCAGCTGCTTATCAGTCTCTTCAATTAGGCACCTATTTTTGCTCAAATGTGAAGGGTAATCATTTGTTAGCTTCAGTTAGATCATGGGTCTAATGGAAATTGCCTATGACACTGTAAAGAGAGTTAAGATTTTTTTTTAAAATGTGAGCCTGTGCATTCCATACTTACATATGAAATTCAGGCTATTATAGCTCACTTAAAAGCAATGCAAATTAGGGAGAAATAAATATAATCCAACTCAGCTTTCAAGATACAACCTAAATGTG